GCATTCTGAAATCTGTTCATTACCCATGTTTCATGTATCCCATCCCTATCTTGTCTCCCTTTCTTTTTATACAATCCCTATATGCCTCTTTTTTTAAATTCGCAGGATTTTTAATTTACTTGTATACTAAGTACTACCGTACTTAGTGATAGGGATGGGCATGGTACATAGCATGATGTATTGGGTTTTTCATCTTCTTTTTCTTCTTCTTCAACCAGCATAACTCAAAAACCGAAAGAGATAAAGCCATGAAATTTTGTAGGAATGTACATATCGATAACCACATGTGCAACGTTATACTTTTTTGTTTGTAAACAATGTTGTTTACTGTAAACAACAACAAAATTGCTCCAGACAACACATTATAGTGGGCAATACGTTATAATGGGCACACTACGTGTGTCAGTGTAACTCACAATTGGTAAGAGTTATGGGAGCGAAAGTTTGTGTACACAATAATTATATTCAATAGCCAACATCCAAATCACAACAATACATGTTTGTAAATAACAACAAATAGCCTCAGGAACTTTTCTTTAAATTAACTTCTTCACTTCTCAAACTTTCAAATGGTAGCACGCATAGAGATGAAACTTGGTACGTATGCCTATTATATCATTTTCATGTTTCCATGACGACCACATATTGTCTTTAGACCGCAGTCACGCGCAATTGACCAATCAGATTACAGAATTGCGGGGGGTTTATTTTTCATAGACACCTCGTTTCAGGTGTCTAATGGCGTTTGCAGGTGGTCTACAGCAAACTCCCCGTACAAAATGGCTATTCTCAAAAGTCGTTATCTGCGCAAACCGGCCGATTCCGCGTTCGGTATATGAAAGCGTAGAAGGCGCGACTGGCAAAGTAGCTCTTTTAAAATGCATTGTGCACCTGCAAGAAGTCTGTGGACAGTCTCCGGAGCTCGCGAAAGTCAGAAATCACGTCAATATTCCACGAAAAAAGCGTCGGCTTCTTCAGCTCTGGCGATACACAAACACATTGGGCCGTTGCCGTGCGTTGCTAACCCTTTCAAACGCGCACCACCAATGAGGGCGTTTTATGATGACGTAAACGATTTTTTACGGGGGGCGGGGGCTGTCTCCTCGGAGTCTCACACGTAAAAAAGGCGTCTTGTTCCATCCGAAGGTAAGGAATGAGGAATGAGCGCAGCGTTGCTAGCTTGTTGCTACCCATTTGAACGCGCAAACACCAATCAGATACTCCGGTCTAAACCGGTTAGACGCGTAAGCTCGGTTGTCTACGCAACATTGCAACCCTCGGGGCATGTGGGTAGCGCCCTCGCTGCGCTCGGGACGCCAACATTCCACAGCCCCTCGGGCTGCAATGTAGCGTAGACACCTCGCTTCCGCGTCTAACCTATATTTAAATTACTTCTTCACTCCTCAAACTTGCTAATTGTAGCACACATGGAGGTGAAACTTGGTGTGCATGTGTATTACATCGTTTCCATGACGACCACAACAGCAAATAGCCTCAGGCACTTTTCTTCTTCACTCCTCAAACTCGCTAACGGTACCACGCATGGAGATGAAACTTGGTACACATGTGTGTAACATCGTTTCCATGACGACCACAACAACAAATAGCCTCAGGCACTTTTGTTTAAAATTACTTCTTCACTCCTCAAACTTGCTAATGGCAGCACACATGGAGATGAAACATGGTATGCATATCATTTCCGTGACGACAACAGGCATTTTTTCTGTATTAAAATTTTTTATATGGGCTTGCCCCCTTCCACAGAGATAATATGTAGTAGCATATAAAAATGAGTGGAGACAAGTAAATTAGAAATCCTGCAAAAGAGGCATATAAGGATGGTATAAAAAGAAAGGGAGTCAAGATAGGGATTGGATACATGAATCATGGTTAATGAACAGATTTGAGTACACTGACACCCCCAACCCCATCACACAATCACTATATTGTTGCCTAGGTGAAGTAACATTCACCATTACAATACTCAGAACTTACAATACACTACTGAGTAACCAACAAACACCCTTATAGAGTCCAAGTGGAGTTTAAAAGGGAATGTGGCAGTATGTTACTAAAAAGAACCAGGGACACGGTGAAAGAATGCTTGCTTTTAGTAACCTTTAGCCCCTATAAAAGTAGCACACCAGGCAACCAGATAGGGATTGTGTGATGGGGTTGGGGGTGTCAGCGTACTCAAATCTGTTAATTAACCATGCTTCATGTATCCCATCCCTATCTTGTCTCACTTTATTTTTATACCATCCCTATATGCCTCTATTTTTAATTCGCAGGATTTTTTATTACTTGTAACATGCAAGAGTCAATACATGCCCTTTGTTGTGCCTTTTTGTGCCTCCAAGATACACAGAGCGAGCGGATCAGGTCGAGGTAAGCCAGCATGATTATGCATATTGTCTTTTTCACTGGTTTCACGGCATACTCTCGAACGCAGTCAATTCAGGAAAATCACCATTTTACTTTTAAGGCTTGCGTAGTTTAAAGCCATTTATTTTGCTCATGGGCCGCCAGGTAGCCTGTAGTGCCAGATTAAATGTCGACAGACAGACACACACACAGACCAAATACTGTAACCCTCACTGTGCATGCGCTCCGAGGGTTTATTATATACTATTTACAACCGCTTGGATTAGAGTTCAAAACCTGTTTCTCCCCAGGTCGCTATCGTGCCAAACTGATCTACCAGCGAGAGATGGAGCACGGCCACTCAGAGACTGACATCACAAAAGTGGTGATGATGGGCATCGCCGGCAGTGGAAAATCAACCGCTCTAGACACAATAATGGAGGAGGAGCCCCTTGCACCCGAGGATCGTCACAGTACCCCCATCATGAAGGACCAGTCAAACCATGGTCATCGTTGTGGACGGCAGACAAACATGGGACAGAAAGAAAGAACAGCACCAGTTCACTGCCCACCTGGCTACACGTCTCAATACAGACCCCACCCTTCCTCAAGAAGCCACACCCACCAGTCACGCACATTCAAACACGATTCCATCTCCTCCCACCTCCGCCTCACCAGATTCATCCTCACACACTCACTCATCTCACCGTCCTCCCCAGTCTGCCACTGGCACATCCACTACTGCTACCACGTCCATCACTGCTGCCCTTCTGCAACCAGTCCATCTCTCTCCCCCGAGTTGAGTGTGGACGCCCTACTGCAGTCAACTGAGGTGGAGGAAGAGTTTGTCTCCCTCATCAGCCAAGCCACCGGATCTCCCAAACCTCTAGCTCACGAGAGATGGGTGTTTCTCATTGACTCTGGAGGACAGACCGAGTTCCAAGACGCCTTCTCTGTGTTCTGCCACACATCAGTCTGTGTGTTTGTGTTCAAGCTGTCGGAGCCACTGGACAGCTACCCCGTGATAGAGTACTACCGCGATGGGCAGCTGGTCGGCAGACGAGAACAGAGTCTTTTGACCAACAGAGACATCTTTGAAAAGTACATGAGAACCATGTTCTCCTTCAACAGCAGAATCATGGGAAAGGCGGAGAAGGGCGCAGTAGCAATCCAGGAGAACTTCCTCCAGCCAGCACAGCCAGTGGAGCTCCCAGGAGATGAAGACCACTCCCCCGAACCAGTAGAATGTCAGGACCATTCATCTAATGAGGACCACTCTCCCAAGTGCGGAGGAGCAGAGGAATGCTCGTCTGTGGAGGACTCCTCCACACGGCCACCCACCCAAGAATTCTTCTCCTGGCACTCATCGAGACCTCACATTTGTGTGAGACAGAGACAGTGGAGCAGAAAAATGAGCAACTAGAGGCTCTCATTCCGGAGAAGCTTAAGAAACAAGTCATTTACAGTGCAGACAAGAAGCCCATATTTGAAATCAACGGTCTAACACCTGATAAAGACGACAAGAGAATGGCAGAAGCAATAAGAGAGTGCATCATGCACGAGTGTCCCTCCAGAAGGGAGAAGACTCCGTGGAGGTGGCACGTGTTCAATCAAAAGATAAAGAGCATTGCTCGTCGACTGAAGAGGAATGTCCTGAGCCGAAAAGAGTGCCTGAAGATTGCTGCATCTGTGGGGCTGGATAAGGAGTCATTCCAACTGTCTCTGGAGTTCTTCCACAGCCTCAGCCTCATCTTCTACTATCCCAGCATTCTTCCCGATGTTGTGTTTGTGGATCCCAAGGTCCTCCTGGACAAGGTGAGTGAGCTTGTCCAGTTCACATTCGAACTAAAAGATCCCAGTGCCAAAGATTCCCCGCTTCCCCACGGCTGGCAACAGTATAAGAACAATGCACAAATCACTGAAAGGTTTCTGGAGAACAAGCGTTTCAGTAGCCACTACCACGAGGCAGTGTTCACCGTGAAACATCTGACAACCTTACTGGAAAGACTACTGGTGTTTGCACGGCTCTCTCCTGACACGTGGTTCATGCCGTGTGTCCTGAAGCATCTTAAACCAGAAGAAATCCGTCCACACTGTGTGAGCCCCTCTCCCCTGGTGGTCCGTTTCCCTGATGGTGGACCCCAACACGGAGTGTGCTGTTCCCTCATAGCCCACGTCCTCTCCACAGCCAACAGACATCCCTGTCCATGGAGTGTCCGTCTGGCACACAACAGCCCCGCTTGTCTGTACCGCAACTGCATCCAGTTTCAGGTCTCGGACTACAATGGCTTTGCTTTGTTAATCGATCGCTACACATACTTTGAAGTCCACGTCCGCACATCACGCAGTATGCTAGTGGAGGTGTGGAGACATGTACGATGTGCTGTCTTCAGTGGACTAGAGTCGGTATCAACCACACTCGGCTACTCCAACAACAAGCCCAGCCCTGCCATCCTCTGTCCAAGCCACACCACTGCCAACAGCTCTCATCCAGCCTACATCAGGAACAAAGAGTGGACCTGCTCCCTCGACTGTAATGAGTTTGACACAGTTGCAAGTCTCAAGAAAGAGCATATTCCGTGCTGGCTGAAAGAGTCTGAATACAGACAAGGTTTGTTAATTTTCTAAGTACTATATTTTGATACATGTTCATTATTGAAGCAGATAATGACACTTCGAGACAGAAGCTGTTAGCTGTGTTCATACAGGCATGCAACTTGTAGCTACGTAGAGTCAGAATTGATTTTGTTGAAATATAAAAACTACCAGTTTGAAAGTGATTAAGTAGCCAATCTCCAGCTTATAAGGTAGCTACACCATAATGATGAACACATGATATACCTATGAATGCGGGTCAGATGACCAACTATATATATCAACTTTTGGTAAACTGTGTGGTGTTCTTGAACTAACAGGAAAACCTATGAGCAGTGTTTGGAGATCCCAGAAGGCCTATCAGTTGGAAATGTTGTAGGGAGAGGAGGTAGCAATGTAAAGAAACTCTATGCTATCACAAAGTCATGCTACATTGAAGTTGAAAAAGAAAAGGTATTATGCAAACCATGGTTTTCTTGATATTTAACCAAGTGCCTTCCACTGTAGGTTTTGATCATTACAAATGAACAGAAAAAGCTGCCACAACTAACAGAGAAAATGCAACAGATTATTTCCCAAGAGGTAGAAGCTATATTTAATTATGGATCTTTTTTAGTATTATGGATTTCACAGAGTTATTATGCAACTTCTCAATGCTCCATTAATCCACGGGGAGCTACCAGGAGCAATTCCTACCATTTCAGAGAGTTAGATGATCCAATAAGGGAAACGGCTCAGTCTTTGCTGCCCGGCGTGACTAGAGAGCCTGTGAATCGATGCCTTGCCATCGAAACTCCCGAGTGTATCTAGCGCAGCCAGTTGCTCATCCAGGACCGAGTTTCAAGAAGCAGAGAAGTGTCAAGATGGCCGACGATCGCCACGTGGTCGGCGCGGGAGCGGCGCGCGCTCCCGGCCTCTCAATCAGCAAGGACGAGGAAGGGGCCGGGCCGGTACTGGGAACGGACAGGAAGATGGAGGGACGTCAGAAGACGGGGACCTCGGCACGTCTGCTGCAGCGACGGAGGTCACGGAAGTGCGCAACGAGAGCGCAGAGGCACAGCCACCAGCGCGAAGCCTCCCAGCTGGACCCCCTTCATCCCACTCCAGGTACCCACTCAATTCTCGTAGACTAACAGCATGGCACTTGCGTATACTGGCGAAAGCGCTAGGGCTGCCTACCGGCGGTTCCCCAGATCAATTGAGGCAGTGCGTGGAAGGCATGGTCCAAAGGGACCGTGATCACCATAATGTCATGGTGGTTGTTCAGGAGTCAGGGAAGACTGAACAGATAATCACTCTAGAAGACTCCGAGGGAGAGTTCCTATGCTGTGGTCCTGCATATCGGGACACACCCCCACAGCGTACACGTGTAGCTGAGGATACGGAGCTCGTTGAAGGTCTTCGCCAGCAACTGGCAGAGGCCGAGCAGTTTATTAATTGCATCAGCAGTAGCCAAAGATCTAGAAAACGCAGAGACGATATCGGAACTCCAGGAGGCACTGGCCTCCAGGGAGGAACTCACGGCGGCACACCAAGAAGAGGCCGCAGAGCTCAAGCAACAGCTGGAGACAGAGAAGGAAAGGGCGAGGAAGAGTTGGCGGACCAACTGCAAACACGTAGCGGAGCAAGACGCCATCATCACAGCCCACGAGGAGGAGTTGACTGCACTGAGGAAACAAGTCAGGGAGCTGCAAGCCAGGACTTCGCGAGAGAGGGTGTCTGCTACACGAGACGACAGGACCTCTCCACCGTCAGTGAGACTCTCCTCCACTGAGCCCACTAGTAGGGAAAGTCGTCCCGGGTCTGCTGATCGCTCACCCAGAGATACTCGTGGAGAATACTCAGCCCCAACTCGTGACCCCATGAGGTCAGACGTAGATCCTATGGCAATCCCTTTCCGGCGAGATCCCACCGTAGCCCCTCGACCAGGAGAAAGCCCCTCGTCTGCATCTCGACTCGTCCCTGATTCTCACTCAGTGGATCCAGCGGATGGACGGCGACGGCAGGGGAAAGCCCCACCAATCGAGTTCTTCTCGGGAGAAGACTTCTCCATACTGCTTGACGACTGGTTGCCCAGCCTGGAGAGAGCAGCAACATGGAATGGGTGGACCCCAGAAGACAAACTCATGCAACTACCAGGATACCTCAAAGGCCGAGCTCTTCAAGAGTGGCGCCTACTATCTCGATCTGAGCAGCAGTCATACCCGGCTGCAATTGAAGCTCTTAGGATACGCCTCGACCCTGGCAGTAAGACAGTAGCTGCACAGGAATTCCGTCACTCCTTGCAGAAGAGCGGAGAGTGTGTGTCCGACTTCATCCGACGTCTGGAGAAGAAGTACCAGATCGCCTACGGCCGCGACGACCTGAACACCGCAACTCGAGATGCTCTGTTGTACGGTCAGCTGTACGAAGGCCTGCGGTACGAAATCATGCTCAGTCCGGCGGTATCCGGCTCTCAGGGATACAAGGAACTTGCCACAGCAGCTAAAGCGGAGGCACGGAGGTTAGCGGCATTGAAACAACGCCAGATTTACTCCAAAGTGCCTGGTAACAACAACCCTACTTCCACACCCCCGTCGACTCCCACGGGAAACCAATCAACATCTCGTGATTTGGGGAAGAATCTTCAGGACCGTCCTCGGGAAAAGACACAAGGAGGTGTTAGTATTGCGGAGAGACTGGACACATTGCTCCGAGGTGTCCAAAGACTAAGCGAGAGAGTACCGGTACACCAGTCAAGCCAGCTGGCACCAAACAAGTCCATAGTTGTGGGAAACTCAAGAGAAGCGTCCCACCGAAGATCCAGAATCTCTCCTGTTGTCGTCGTCTGAGGAAGAAGATGATCCTGGAGTCAAGATTGTTCGTGTTACAGACCATGGTAGCGTCACCCAGTGCGTCAAAGTGCTTATCCAAGGGGTACCCGCTTATGGACTCATCGACAGTGGTGCCGATATTACAATCATTGGAGGTTCACTCTTCAAGAAAGTGGCTGCCGTCGCCCGACTCAAGAAAAAGAATTTCAAGAAGGCAGATAGGGTGCCTCGAACCTACGACCAGCAGCCCTTTCGACTGGATGGACGGATGGACCTGGACGTAGCCTTTGGAGACAAACAGATGACCACTCCCGTCTACATAAAGATAGACGCTCATGACCAGCTGCTTCTGTCCGAAGGAGTATGCCGCCAACTCGGCATACTCCAATATCACCCGGATGTGGAGACCTGGCGTGGTAGTCGTAAGAAGCCTACGCCGTCTGCCAACAAACCCAAACCCCCGTCAGAACCAGCTACGCCCTCATCACTGCCAGCCGAGGAGACTCCCGGTGCGGAGGAAGCTAAAGTCCCAACCGTTCGTGTCAACCTTGTACAATCTGTCCAGCTCCTTCCCCACCAAAGCCTAGTCGTGGAAGTCAGCCTCGCCAGACACAAAGAGAGTGATGACTCGGTGACGTATCTATTGAACTCACGAGTGGCCTGGAAGTAGAACCCTCTCTGCTCAGTTTGCCAGCTGAAGATGGAGTCCTGGCCGTGATTACCCTACGGGATGCTCCATGGCACTGGAAGAGGGAAGCCTACTCGGAGAGGCTACCCCCGTCACACTAGCGAATCCTGCTCCCAACGACAACCAGACTCAAGGCGTCTCGGGAGAACAGTCTGCCCTCCGATGGATCCAGACAAAGCCGACTGTGTGGAGACAACAAAAGCTGTTGGAAAGCGTTGGAGCTTTGGAGACTCTCACACCAGTGCAACAGCAGAAACTTCTGGATTTCCTCAAGGAGCACCATACAGCCTTCGCCCTAGAGGAGGGAGAGCGAGGAGAGACGGACCTGGTGGAAATGCACATCAACACAGGCGACACAAGGCCACAAAGATGCCCTCCCCGACGGATGCCGTTTGCAGTCAGAGAGGAAGTAGTTAAGCAACTGGACAGGATGCAAGCGGCCGGAGTAATCGAGCCATCGATGAGTCCCTGGTCCAGCCCGATAGTGATGGTCCGTAACAAGGACGGTTCCCACAGATTTTGTGTCGACTATCGCCATCTAAATGCCATCACGAAGGCAGACACCTACCCCCTACCACGGATAGATGATCTACTGGACCAACTTGGCTGCTGTAAGTTCTTCTCAACTCTCGATCTCGCGTCTGGCTATTGGCAGATTCCTGTGGACCCGGAATCACAAGAGAAGACTGCCTTCGTCACTCCCCAGGGATTGTACGAATTCAAAGTCATGCCCTTCGGCCTGACCAATGTTCCTGCTGTGTTTGAGCGCCTCATGCAGAGGTTACTGACAGGTCTGAATCCACCGTCTGGACCAGACTTTGTGGCAGTCTACATCGACGATCTACTGGTGTTCTCACCCACTCTGGAAGAGCATCTCGAGCATCTGAAGGCAGTAATTCAGCGAGTGAGTGAGGCTCAACTCAAGTTCAAACCAAGCAAGTGCAGTTTTGTCCGCCAGGAAGTAGAGTACCTGGGACACGTGGTCACCCCACATGAACTGAAGCCGAATGATGCCTTGGTTACAGCGATCACTCAGTTTCCTCGACCTACTGACCTCAATGGTGTTCGCCGGTTCATAGGACTTGCGTCCTACTATCGTCGTTTCATCAAGAACTTCTCCCGAATCAGTGAACCACTCCGGGAATTGACTCGAAAGAACGCTACTTACGAGTGGACACCGGCTTGTGAAATTGCCATGACCCCAATTAAAGGAAAAACTGACTACAGCCCCTGTTCTCACGTTCCCAGCAGTTGATCGTGACTTCACCGTGGAGACGGATGCCAGCATCAGCGGAATTGGAGCAGTTCTGTCGTCGACTACCAGATGATTGTCACCTTCATCACCGCCGTATTGAGCATACCCCAGTCCGGTAATCACTTTACAATCTCACCTCAGCTGAGCCGTAACTATAGTTTTTCGACCGGAGCTCGAGTACTTCTGGAGGCCGTTGTGGTTGGTTGACTGTGCCCTTAACCGAATTCCACCACTACCATCTTACGGTACAGTCAGTAGTAGACACGTGATTAGCCATGACTAAGTAGTGCCTACATAATAAATCGCGTTCTAGTTCGGAAAGATTTAGAAGATGACGGATGATTCAGGTAATAAGGAATAGGGAAAACAACCAATGGCCTTAAACAGTTCACGAAGGGAAAGTTCACCCGCGCCCTCCACTACTTTTTTATCTGACTTCCTCCTCCCGATAATCCCCTTAGCCTACATCCCACGTGCTCCCTTCCCCTCTTCCACCCTACCATCCACCACACCTACATTCTCACCCGTCTTCGGCACCTCCTTACATTACATATACTATCCGGCCCCCCCGTCCACAGAGACAACTATACACACGAGCAAATCACTCCCCCCTCCTTAACGCCTCCCTACAGACGCTCCCTCAACCCCCCAACCACCCTCATCTCACTTTCATACTCAATTAGTCCTTTCTGAGAAACCCAAAACCCCGTCCTGGCATAGCACCTTTTGAGATGGGGGACAAAGTATTGTTCAAACGTGCTCAGCGCTTAAAGAGAAACCAATCAAGATGATTCGAAAGGGTACAGAGCGAGAAAGCATGACAACAGTTCATGGCCGCCTGATGCTCTTTTCCAGCGATTCCACATAAGAAGAAGCCCAGCAAGAAGGGATAAGGATACAGTCCAGCTGCAGCAGGGAGGCACAGTGATTCAAGTGTTTCAAGTTCGTTAGCCCTCTCCAGAGAAAGATGGAATTTACTTCCAACATGACAGTGAACTCGATCCTATTATTAACGCCACCACGTCGGCCCAGTAAAACCTCGAAGGCAGGACTGAATTCTGTTGAGCAAGGGACGCTGAGGCCCAAGTCTGAGGCATAATGCGATTTCCTTTTAACAATGTAGCACTTCGAGAAGGAAGAAAAGAGATATACTAGGCAGATTGCCTTTGTGCACGAAATCCCATTTGATCTGTCAAGGAAACATTCGTCGTACTATCATTTCGATCACAAACAAGGGACACCTGACAAACACGTCACCGTATCAGCACACGCTCATAGAGCAACTACTCCCTGTACCGTCTTCACTCTTCTGTGTGCTTGGGGGACACTTTGGATCGAAGAACAAACTTCTGGAGTCTCTGGCGCCTTCCCGGGGGCATCAGGGAATGTATTATTTACATCAGCCGTTAGTCAAGTTTTTGTTGTACACCAATGGCCTCAGAGTGTCATCTTATTGGTCACGGGGAATGACTTCAATCATCGTTGTCGCCACTCCCATCTCGAGTCTCAGGCAGCCGACTATATTTCAGAATTGTGTTGGATGTGAACAACATTGAGTCCCACCACCATAACCGTGGCAACAATAATGTCTTGGTCTTCCAGGACTACCTCACTAATGGCCACTTGCAATTCCTATTATGCGCTGACCAGAAGACAGCACATAGAATACGTCAGAGCGGCTTTGTCACATATGGTGCCATGTTTCCACAAAATAAAAACTAACTGTATTTCGTTAATTCCCCTGTAAAGGCCCTACTTGTTTCACTCACCGCAGGTGACCAGATTCTCATTCCTCGTCACCTGATGCCAGACTCATCTGCAAGCTTCTAGCATCCAGCAACTCAATACGACTACATTCCACCTGACCCCCCGGAATGCGACAGCCTTCGTGTTGCAAGAGTGTTCAATCAATCGTTACCCCTAGTACACAATTGCTAGCGCAAGCACGCCGCGAGAATTCGGGTTTCTCACATTAATGGGATTAGTATTTTGAGCATGAGCTCTGTGGGACGTACGCCTGGAATGGGTGCCACCATGGACATGACCTACACAAATGGTGGTGAGAAACCCTTCGCTTTCCTGTTAGACCATGATTTGATTGTGTACTGACCCCTACTGAAGCTTCATACTGCTATACCAAAAGTTTAAAATATACCCGCCGAACTATCATACGCAAGGAACTATATAGTCTACTATTGAGTCTCATACTATCGAGAGTAAGACATGTTCTGTCACTCTCAAAACCCGAAGCCAGGACAGATTATCAGGCATACCCACGAGAGAACAAAGCAACAAGCTGAGTATAAACGACTACAATCAGCCGATCGGCTCAAATTCTTTAAGTACTCAGACTAACAGATGCTCGATATTTGTGTGTTCCTGTGTCAAATTCCCTGCAGAGTAGACGGTGTTCGTATTGGCGTAACATTGTCCCGACCACTTGGTAATACATGGTCACTAACAAAAACCATAAGCGATTCGTAGCCGCGGGGACCAACAGATTTGACATTTGGTTATGGTCTACTCTCTCATCACTCTGGTCATGATACATAATTCCACCAACACCTAGAAACCTATGAGTGGCACCCCACATGCTCCGCCTAGAAACTAGCTCTCTCCAACCTGATTCTTTGTGTATGGAAACTAACGAACCGTTTCCCAGACCTGTGTCCGACACACACACAAAGTGGGTTCAACGCAAGCCATTCATGACAAGGTGAACCAATCTCATTCTGATCCCGACCAAATAGTCCTAACAAGCAGAGAAACACATAAGATGCGCAACTGCCAGACGAACTCAAGCCCCATGGAGTCCTACAAAGATGGAAAAATAGGTATTTGGAGGGACCCTATTGACTTCGTGCAAGTACTCGCCTTCAACACTATATTCTTCCCTCCGCTCAAAAATCCGGGAAATTGATTACAAATACCTGCTGTCCTCGCTGAGAGTGTAAGCCACTTACGCGGGGCTGACTCTACATTCCCTAGTCCTATAGTTGTACCCGCCATAATCGATGACCAGCAAGCTGACATCAGCTACAGTAGCACATGAGATCGATCTAATAAGAGCACCGCAGAGATTCAGCCCACGGACCTACTAACTGCCGCAGGAGCGTCCGGCAAACAATCGATCAAGTCACCAGCCGATGGCTGACAAAGACCTCTCCTCCTTACTCGATATAATGTTTGTGTGAGCTCGACGACGAGCTGCCTCATTGGGAGGCGAGATGTGAAATAGGAAAGACCGTCGTAGACCTATAGATTGATCTCACGACTCATTGTGACATAGCGATGTATGTGTTTGGTAGATGATGCATATGTAGGTGATGTATATGATATGACAGCAGAGGCTAGACTAGTAATACTACAAACCAGAAACATAGATGTTTTATACACAGCCGCTACACATACGAGGAACTAGTATAAACAGTAAGACAATTATACCACTAGTTCCATGATGTATGCTCTGTAAACAGTTGAAAACTGTGTGTTAGGCTGACATCTCAACCACTAAGGAGGATTCAGAGATTGCTTAACCAAAGGTTTGCAGATGCTGGTTGAGAGAAAGGGCGAAAAGAAAATTTATCATTCACTTTCTGCAAGGTTTTGATCGACATTTTGGTGATAATATGTTAGTACTATCCTCGAATACACTACACAGGCTTGGAAAAGTTATTGTGGAGCGACGGTCTCGAAGCGTAGTATGTACAGAAAGGACTACAGTTTGGAAGGTTTAGTTCAGCTTCTCTCTAGCAAGAGTAGCAGAGGCAAAATATCTTTAACCCCATGTAAGTTTTTATGTCATATATCGTACAGTAATACATCGTCAATTGCTATAACATAGTGTGGAATCTGCTGGTGTTCATCACTTGAGGTCTTCATTTAGTGATAATAAAAGTCACTCTATCGAAGTTTTGACGTGAAAGGAGATTTTGTGTGTGGTGCAAGAGCTCTGGAGGGAGGAAACAGGCTTGATATACGTTGGTCCTTGCAGAGAGGCGTGAAGGTCATCAGGCACGCTACAAGTTGTGATGGTTAGGAGAACGAGGCTCAAAGAAATTGGGCTTTGACGTCCTTTCATCTTGAGAGGTATACGTACATGATTTTGCATATTGAATTTTCCAGCAGAGGTTTGCACACACAGGAAATGTGACGTACGTATAGGTCTCTACAACTATGAGTACGTGACGGAAGGAGAACCTCTCCATGCTGTTGTGAGGGAGATGGTGGGGACCCTGTCGTCCCTGCTCTCATCTGTCAGTTCAAGCCAAGATGGCTCGTTGGGAACGAATCCACGGTTGCGATGCAAGAGAAAGACTACGTTTCAATTAGACGACAGATTTGCTGCCACAGTCAACTGCATGTCTGAGTACACATTTGACGTGAAGAAAGGTCAAGTGATTGAGCTGGACTTGAAAATGAAGCAACACACTGAAGTAGAGGTGAGCATAGTCAGACTGAGATTAACCGTGCACGACATAATCAATGTCTTGTTAACTGCAGCTGCACAACTTGGCTTGGGAGTGTGCGTTTGGTCGTGATGCAGGCTTCTCCTCAAACCAGGCACTGTCCTTGCTCATTGAGAGGGGATCAGTCAACACGAGGGAGTTTGACCTTCTTCTCCGTCCCTGGCAGGTTGATCACATCATCAGGGACTTTGACATCTTCTGGCACCACCTGGAGTTTCTCACCGACAAGCTAGATGAACTGGATTGACTCTAGTGTATCCATTGTGTTTGTTATTCACGGTTTCTTGTATATAAAATAGTCACATGATACAGCTAAAATGACAAGCTCAGCACACCATGCTGGTTACAAATGTGCTACATGCTTTGTCAATTAGTCTTTGTGTTGTCTGAACACTTGCCTAATCCTGCTACAGCACACGACAGCACTTTGAGACAATGCCTAGTTGTAATCCTATTACTGCTGCTCTTTGTTGGCCTGGGTGTTGACACTTGTCTACAATTTGTATGCGGTGTAACTTATGCCACGTGGTACATAAGTGATGATACAAAAAGGATTCTTATAGCCTCCTTGGAGTAGTGTCTGTGTAGCTACACGTGCAAAAATGTTGCCAACCTGACATACAGCATGCTGCATAGCAAGTGACCAAACCAATTCACAAGTGATCAGATTCTGCCTGTTTTGTGCTCTCAAAGCCGAGTGTGAGTCGAATATGGATTTGAGGGCCATGTAGCTACAGGTAGCCTGTGTGGCGTGCAGGCCGGCTCTGAAGTATAATTAGTCACGCCAGGCCAGGAAGTAGGTGTGGTTAATACGGTGCAGTGTGCGCATGCGCAGCGCGGCCGGCCAGGGTCAAATAACTGCCGCGGCTCTAGCACGCTCGCTAAAAATGAACACGCCCTCAAACTCGAGCCTGAAGTGGTCCGGCCAGAAAACCGGACCGGCCGGACCGCTTGCTATACGGCCATGCAGTGTGTGAGTTAAAATGAGCATTATCAAGGATCAAACTTCTGTGCATGTGTCCACAGACGTTATTCTTTACAAAGCCAAACAGACACCCCTTATGCAGCATGATGGCTGTGTTACCTCATGTTCCCTTTATTAACCCTCGGCGCGCATGCGCAGCGAGGGTACTGTAGTTGGGTGTGTGTGTGTGTCTGTTACTCTCAATCTCACTTCTCGAATGTCTGTTCGTCCCAGAAACGCTACCATCTACCCAACGGGCGACGAAGGTCAGAAAATATGTGGGGGTTTCTCTGAAAATGCTCCGTTGCAGAGCTAGAGCGCTTCCACCATTGTACGGCTAATGCGTAGTCGGCCATTTTTATCGCTGCGGAAAATGCGCATGCGCTTATAACCTCGACCGGGTCGTCCGCTTGCTCTGTGTATCTTGAAGGCACAAGAAGTCACAACGAAGGGCGTGTATCGACTCTCGCATACTATCTACTACTGTAGCTAGCCCGTGTCAGACTCTCTGCGAGCTACTAGCGGGAGATCACGAGTAAACGCATACTAATAGCAGCCCAGCCCATCAATTAGCGGTACCGCGCATCCCCAGTTCGCCGAGGGTTTGCACTTTAGTGCTTTTCATTGGGTTTGTCTGTCTGTGTGTGTGTCTGTCTGTTACTCGTCATCTCACTTCTCGAGTGTTCGTTCGTCTCACAAAGGATACCACCTACTGAACGGGCAATGAAGGTCAGAAAATATGTGGGGTTTTCTCTGAAACTGCTCCGTTGCAGAGCTAGAGCGCGAAAAAGCTAATATGCAAATAGGCAACGGACGGGATGGCTTTACCACGGTCTGATCGATCCGCGTGCTCTGCGCACCTCAGAGGCACCAGAAGATGCAACGCAGGGCGTGTATCGCCTCTCGCATGCTATCTAGTAGTGTAGTTAGCCCGCGTCAGACTCTGCGCGAGCTGGGAAGAGACCACGAGTAACAGCTAAAACTAAACCCAGCCCATCAATTAGTGGTACGACGCATGCGTTTACTTACGCGTGCGCGTCACAATGCGCCGAGGGTTTGCACTTCAGTGCTTTACATTTTCTACTGTAATTGGTGAGTGACACAGAGATCAGAGACACACTATGAGTGTGACATCACGATGGCTGCCAAGTTTTTGTTTGATACACGTCCATACTATTAGTATGCGCATACAGTGTGTACCAGGCTCTTTTCCCATCCCACAAAGAGCCTACGGACAAGGCTATCGTATGCTCAGGTCTTTCTACACACTCTGGTCACCATCGCAGTCAGTGGTGTAGATGTGTACTTACACACATGGCGGACATAGAATGACATTACTTTCTACGGTAATTGGTGAGTGGCACAGAGATCAGAGAAACACTACACGTACTGCTGGTTGTAGGTATGTAGAACTGAGCCTAAAAAGACTGTCCAGTAATGCCTGTGTAAGACAGCTTGTGACTGTCTCAGCACAGGTAGGGCAGTGGGCGCCACATACTTTCTGCGTTGGTGTGGGTAACGGTTTCACGTGCACAATGTATCCTGTAACCATAGTATATACCGTGTCTCATATTCTTGCCCTTATCCTTACTACTAAAGTATGGCATATTCAGTAGTTGTGTGGCTCTTTGGTCTATGGTCAACTGCATGGTTGCATGTTAAAACCTGTTAGTTGTGAGTAGGCCACTCCCATATAGCAATGAATTTTTAACATAAACCACAACTGTTCCTGCTCTTTTCTGGTATATTATATATAAGGTGAGGGCTAGCATCCCTGGGCTAAGCTGGCTGGCTCTCTAGCCCATTCAATGGGGTTTAGGAGGGGAACCTACAAACCCAATTTTTGGAGGCCATTACTCTATGATGGCCCTGTATCACCACCCAGTGGGCACACACCCCTCCCTTTGGTGTGCTCCAGCTGTGTGTGTGCAAGGCCTAGGGTTAATGGCCAGTGAATTTTAAGAAAATCAATTACCTCTATCTCTGTCTGTCCGTCTCTCTGGTTCCATTCAGCAGAAGAAGGTTCCTGGTTCAACCAACAGCTCTACTACTGTCCTGTCACTGGCCAATAACTCATGCAGACACTATGGAGAGCCTTATAGGTGGGTCTTTATTAACCCTCGGCGTGCATGCGCAGCGAGGGTTACAGTAGTCGTTCTGTCTGTCTGTCTGTCTGTGTGTGTGTGTGTCGACGCTTATTCTGGCACTACAGGCTACGAGGTGGCCCATTAGCGATACCAACGGCTTCCGAACTACGCGAGCCTGAAAAAAAAATGGCGATTTTCCTGAAACGACTGCGTTTGAGAGATATGCTGTGAAAACAAGCAATAAAGCCAATATGCATAATCGTACTATATAGGCTTACCGCGACCTGATCCGCTCGCTCTGTGTACCTTGGGGGCTCAGGAAGTCACAACGAATGGCAAGCATCAACCTCTCCTCCCTTTCCCTCTCCTTTTCCACAGTAGAATCACAGTCAGAATAGTGCCCTTCCAAACTGAGAGGCAATTTACACTCCCGCAATGCGCTTGTGATGGTAATAACCGCACCCTTTCTTATTGAATTATGTCATCGTCGAAAAGTCAAGGCACGTGACGCAAACGCCTACTGCGCATGCACAATCGCGAAAGAGGCGTGGTACTAAATTTGCAGGGGCAAAAATGGCGGGCTGCAACGACGTGACCAGTGACCTCATGACCCTTCCTGAAATACTGAAATTCATGAGAAGCGCTGTAGTGCGCATGCGTAGGCCAGAAAAAGGGGCGTAACGGAGGCCAGTAACTGTGCGTCCGCGTTCGCACGTACGCTGGTTATTGGGAGAAACGAAGGTGCAACGAGCTTCGCGCTAATGTAAGCTACCGATTGAAGGCATTTTTGCGCCGATCCCACGACTAACGCCCACGCCACTCTTTTACAATCTTAACCCTTAGCCAGCCACGGGCACATAAATATGCCCAGAGTGTCCATAAGTCTATAAGAATAATATAATCTGTCTATAATACAGTACAGTGCGCTAATACTGTATTATAGCCCTATATAAATTCTTATGGACTTATGGGCGCTCTGGGCATATATATGTGCCCGTGGCTGGCTAAGTGTTAATACTGTCCGTCCCTGGCAGGGTGCGAGCTACAGGGTACGTGCGTGACTTGGGAGTGCTTTCAAAATACAATTTTCAGATGCGGTCAGTGCCCATCCGAAATCGGATACCTCTTAGCCCTAAATTTTAGGGGGAAGCTTATGAAACTTCAGACTAGATGGCTGTCTGAAATTTCAGACACTACTACATCTTAGATATAGAATAACTGAGCTTCCCCCTAAAATTTAGGGCTAAGGGGTATCTTAATCGGATACCCCTTAGCCCTAAATTTTAGGGGGAAGCTCAGTTTATTCTATATCTAAGATGTAGTAGTGTCTGAAATTTCAGACAGCCATCTACTCTGAAGTTTCATAAGCTTCCCCCTAAAATTTAGGGCTAAGGGGTAAGCTCAGTCTACCATAGTGCTACGAAAATATGCGTCACGAAAACGTGTTATGTTGTTTATCCGCTACCAAATCTCTGCGAATGCTAGGATGCCATTTGCACACACGCAATAGGGAAGCGACCTTCTTGGCCAACATGCTTCCGTTTATGCATGCATTGAAGTTGCATACGACTTTTGTCTCATTTTTTAAATTTCGATCAATCATACACAAAGAGCATTAAGCTAGTATGTGGTGCATGACTGTATACTGAGAATTTAATATATTCAACCACTCCTCAACGTTGTGTATATCTTCGCCTCATTATAAATAGATCTCATGGCTTCCATTCTTGTGCATAGGGAGTGGGCCCTATGCTGTGTCGGTACTTTGTCAAAATTTGTCCCCTACTCCATTCCTCTGCGTATTGTACAATGTAGTTCACAGAAATGTTACTGTTTACAACTGTTAGTCTTAGTCGTGAATTTCATTTTCATTGGTATTGTTTGTCCTGTGCTATAGCTCTATGCACGTGGTAGCTAGTTCACAGAACAGTCATATACTGTTTACAAGTCTTCTTGCTCAGTCATGAATTTCGTTGTTACTGAGCTCTAGGAATAAGCAATTTCTCACTATGCACCTAGCATGTTCTTTCTGTTGGGAAGTGCCCACTGCCATCCCCCCCCCCTCGTACAACACATTCCCCTCATACAACACATTCATGACCTTATACGGAAATATTGGTCAGCCACCGACCAATCAGAACGGTTCATACGAAATTTATGCTGCTGTCCCTGGGAATAACAAAAGCAATAAGATAATGTGTGCCACTTCCTAAGACCTTATCTCACACTGACATCCAAGTACTTTCTCAGGGGCCTTACTCATTCTGGCAGCCATTCCACATGCGCAGATGACACCGAGTGAACCAACCTCTATTGCTTTGCAGCTGGTAGCTACAGAGAGTCATTCGTGCAATCCGGCATTCTTTTTGCCACATAAAGGTTTAATGGTGCATCGCCACAAAATTCATACCTGACCATGCTTCATTCTTCCGTAGCTACGTCTTGAGTGTATGATTATTATTTCAGTAGCATGCACACAAACTTTCATGTGCTCAAGATTCTATGGCTAAAGAATCAATCTAACTTTGATATAACTAGATATATACTACAGCAATTGCCTATAATGTCTTTTTTCTACAGTCTGTCACAAAGCTAAGTGTCTTCCAAAAAGTGTTTCATTTTCCACCTTTGGGCGTGTATTTGGAGTTGATGGGGTTGAGTTGGTCGGCATGGTTGTCCAAATCAGATTTGGTGCCAGTTCCAGGGTATCCCTTCTTATGACCGTCGTACTCCGGGTTGGTGGGATTGCACTGGTCTGAGTGGTTGTCCTTGTCCGCCTTGGTTCCAGTCCCCGGGTATCCCCTGCGGAACAAGAAACTTGGCTAATATTTTACACTTCATTTTTAGTTCATACCCTGAGCTGCTCATGATGAGTGACAGACGGCGGGTTGAAGTAAGCAGAGTTTGAGGCAATAATCAGCGGAGCGATGCAGCACGGGAAATTATATGTGCACAGCGCATTGTCGTAACAATCCCCTCGCTGCGCATGCGCACGGAAGTTTATTATTGCGGCGGCCACGCCTTATCGAAAAGGCGTTCGGGCACCGTCGTGAAGATCAGTAGAATCAGTGATGAAGTGGTCAGGACAGAGCTCCCTTCTGTTGCCGGCTATCGTTGGACAAATCGTTCCTATTCTCTGCTTGAATCTCCAAGCTGGGACGGGAGGTATGTGTTTTCTCTCCCAGTATCTGCCAATTTGAGATGATGTCGTCGCTGCTAGCACAGCGACGATATGCTGCGATCCGCCTGAATTACAACGTACGTATACCAAGGCGCTGCAGCAGGGATGAGACCTTGCCAGCTGACACATGCAACACACATGTACAGAGTGTGAATTGCATGCAACCACCACCACACCTGCATGTATAACCTGTCCAATCTCAACCTTGGGATAAATTGCAGTAACTGACGTCTCTTGCATGCAGGGAACCTGAACTTCTTGACTCTGTCAAACTACACAACACTGCCGCGTAATCATGGTGCTGTCAGTGATCGCATCCAAACTAATGGATATTTCTCTTCTGGAGGTTGGAACATCACCGCTCTATATGTACGTGACTGCCACCAGTTATTACTCTGTGTGCTGAGGCTCATCGCCTCAATGGCAGTTATGCCACTACTAGTAAAATAATGTATACTGTAGCAGCTATAACTTAAAAAATCGAGCTGACTTAACTTACATTATGCCTTTTGTCAATTACGAATATTAGTACATACCTGCTTGTCACGTTGATTGTGAGAGGTCAAAGTTTCCAAGGGGGGGAATCTTTTCCCTCCCTAAATTAAACTCTGAAATGACTGTTGCAGGGCATTACTAGGAGAGACATTGAACTTTTAAGCAGACCAGAAGACCAGATATCATCTGCACATGCTAAAGGCATCTCATTCGTTCAGAACCACAAGCGCTGCGCCTGAGCAAAGCCTTGTGGGGATGAATCTTATTAGTTCAAAACCACAAGTGCTGCGCTCAACTTTGCCTTTATAAACTGGTGATGCCAGAGAGAGAAGTTGCTATGCTTTGCTGATGAGGGCCAACAAGCCTGAAACAGCTGTCCAGAGCTCCACATCTTTTTCTCTCTTGGCATCACATGGTCTATTGTTACATGGGCCTTAATATTATACCTCACTCTTCATGTGTATAGTACTAACAAAGCGAAGTGGAGTAGTACTTGACACTGCTAGTCTCTGTTATTAGACATGGAAGGCATGTTCCACAGTATCAACTTGTCCTAAACATTGTTTGGTGTTCACATCTGAAAAGTATGCCTATATACTGTAAAAGGAAATATTGGCGCTCCATTAAATTTAGCGAATTTGGCGTTAAGAAATAAATCGCTAAAATTAATGGTCCGCCAAAATTGTTTCTATAAGAGGTACAAAGTTAACCACAACTTACAAAACGCTAATATTAATGGCCGCCAATATGTGGAGTCTGAGTAAAACACTAAATATAATGGCTGCCAATATTTCCGGTTTTACAATAATTATCCCTCGGCGCGCATGCACAGCGAGGGTTACAGTAGTTGGTTTGTCTGTGTGTGTGTCGACGCTTATTCTGGCACTACAGGCCACGAGGTGGCCTATTAGTGATACCAGCCGCTTCAGAACTACGCGAACCTGAATAATAAAAGGGCGATTTTCCTGAAACGACTGCGTTCGAGAGATGTGCCGTGAAAACAAGCGAAAAAGCCAATATGCATAATCACACTGGGCTTACCGCGACCTGATTCGCTCGCTCTGTGTACCTTGGGGGCTCAGGAAGTCACAACGAATGGCATATATCAACTCCCGCATGCTATCTACTACTGTATCTAGCCCGTGTCAGACTCTCCGCGAGCTACTAGCGGGAGAACCACGAGTAAACGCATACAAACAGCCAGCCCATCAATTGGCAGTATCGCACATGCACAGTTCGCACGAGGGTTTGCACTTTAGTGCTTTTCATTATTATTGTGAACTACACTGAAGCATAATGGGTGGGTAGCACTGCACTACTCCTACTTGCCTGATGTGGTTATTACTTGTGGTTTTTTTTCACACTGCAGGTAAACAGTAATGGTTTCATCTCGGTATATCCTGCTAAAATTACAGACCTGGATTAATAAGGGACAACAACGAATCACCCATCATAGCCCCCGTGTACTCAGCCCGGACTGGACACCAGGCTATCAGGAGTGTCCGGTTCACTCAGTTCACGTCGTACGATAGACTCCAGATGACTATTGTCAGTGACTTCATCAGATCCCACACCAATCACCCCTTCAGTGGAACTAGGATTGATGGTCGTAGAGTGGAGGGACGTTGCTAATATGGTGGATCTACAGTGAGTTAGTTAATGTGTAACAACAAATACCGACTTGCAGCAATGAAAAATACAAGCGACTGCACTTTTTGACAGAGCGAGTGGTACTTAGTTTTCCATTCACCAGAACCACTCCAGTGAACTAAGTCACACACTCAATGCATTTGACAGTTATTGTGGTACGTGTGTCCTGTTTGTTTCTACCACACAGAGTACACAAGTACGTTCAAGCGGGTTTGATCACAATGGGACGGACTCCTATGCAGTGTTTCATCATGATGTGAGGGATGGGTGGAGTGGGGCCGAGATAGGCTGGCAGGCTCGCAGACTCTCCGCAATAAAATGTCCAGGAAGCTCACTACCTCAGTGGTAGTGTCGAGTCAGCTGTATTGGGTTTTGTCTCTCTTCCAGCAACCACAGTGCCATTGTCTACAGACATATAGAGTTTGTCCACAGTAAAAGATTCCATGGAAGAGTAATTTACTCCATCGGGCCTTTGCTTGCTTTGTGTATGTGTATATACTAACTAGGATGCGCTCGCGCATATTTTGCCTCGTGGCTGCCAGCCAATGCGTAAACAGTCCGACTGAGGGCACTCGTACGCGCCTCTACTGACTGCGCGCGAAGCCAGACTTCTTACGAATCTGTGCGCACGGCGGAGCTAGATTCCTACGAATGATGGAAGTTACACTGTGCTTTGGTGACTATTGACATTCTTAAGCGTGACCGACACGTACGTACACATATCGCGGAGAATACAACCCGGGTAGTAGTTGCCTCGCGCTAATGCGCTCAGCAACTAGGGTGACTCTAAAGATATTGACAGGACGTGTAGTGTTCTTTTATGGGCATGTAATGCCCTCCACACGCTACGCTTATTTGGTTCAACATGATTGTGGTCTGCATATATGTTAATACTTATTTTATCTCTTGATTTGCTGTGTAGCATTGTGAAGCTTTTGATTGTGTGTGTGTGACTATGGCACTGTGTGGCTGGCCACAAAAGAGGTGTGCGACTGGGTATCGTGACTGCAGAGATGGTACTGATGAACAAGAATGTGAAACAGAGCATCTGCTAGTAAGAAGTTGTCCACGACTAAAAATTGTACTAATAGGCAGTAGGCAGACTTGATATCACTTATCACAATGACCACTTTTTTTTATTAGACGAACCCAAGTCGTGCTTCAGCCAGCCGTTTTTGCCCCAATTCAGTCGGAAGATGTGATTCCAGTGTGACAACAGGAGGTGTGTTGGGCTGGTGTGTACACGATGATGGTCGTGATGACGGTGGAGACGACAGTGAGAACAAGATTGTGGTGTTTGTTGAGTATGTGAGCAGCAGTCGGCCGGTGACTTGCGTGGAGTATACGGTACTGATCTGACTGCAAGTATCAATGTACCAGCCTGTATACAGTCAGGTAGTAGTCATGTTCACTCTTACGTACACTGGAGCCTCTGTGGAAACAAAGCCTATATACAGTACCATTGGGACGCTGATACTAATGTTGGAACTTGAATTGTCTGTACGTATATTATGTATGTGTAATATATGTATGTAGTTTTTCACATGCATATATTGGCTTGGAGTTGGGCGTCCTTGGTGGTTTAATACTGTCTGCTCCTACATATAGTGAGGTGAGAGTATATATACAGTGCCATAGCACACGTGGTTGAGGTTTGCCTTGTGTTGTGTGTATTGTGTTGTAGATTCGAACCCCTACCATCTGAGTTGGCTGGTAGCTCAGTTGGTAGAGCGCTCGCCTAGACTGCAGAGTGTCGTGGGTTCGAATCCCACCTATAGCTAGTGCGCTCTTTATTTTCCTTGGAAAAAAGAGCTGTCCTGGGTGTATTGATTTGTTTGTTGTGCCTTTGCTTTCTACCTCATAGTTTTCATTGGCTGGACCCCCAAGGCATAACTAGCTTTTGATAGTTAACCCTCGGTGCGCATGCGCGCAGCGAGGGTTACAGTAGTTGGGTCTGTGTGTCTGTGTGTCTGTTACTCTATATCTCACTCCTCGAACGTCTGTTCATCCCAGAAACGATACCATCTCCCAACGGGCGACGAGTCAGAAAATTCGAACGGTTTTCCCTGAAAACGCTCCGTTGCAAAGCTAGAGTGCTTCCACCATGTAACGGCTAATGCGTAGTCGGTCATTTTTATCGCTGCAGAAAAATGCGCATGCGCATTATATTCGATCACGTGGTGGAAAGCGCCAATTTTTTAAATCATTTGGTGAGTTTATCATGCCTCCAAGTAAGGCATGCCCACAGTGTGAAACTATTGTACCACTAAGGCTGAAAGTGTGTAAATCTTCGAATATATCCTTTCGAGCGTGCCTAGCTGTCAGAACAATTTGATGACAGTGTTTTGAATCAAGAGGCATAATAATATAATAATTAATTCCAGATTATGACAGTGACGATTCTAGTCAACATACAAATACAATCACGTGCACTGCTGCGCCGAGGGTTTTGCACTTCAGTGCCTTTCATTTGATTAGTAGTGTATCTTCATTTCTGTCCCTGCAGCCACATTGGACTTTGTTGATCTGCCAGTTGACTCAACTCCCACTGTTCCTCGTGGCTACCGATTGTCTGCGTCTGTTGACGTGGATCCTTTTCCTTTTGCACGTGACACATTGACACCATATACGTATGTGAAATAATTTCTAGGAAACATAAATAATTCTGTGCATTCTCATACCTTGTAATGCTAAGCACACATGGAACTCCCTACTCTATCTGGCCGTAATATTGGAGATCAGGCTTTGAAGCATTATAATAGCAGAGTTTTAAGCTACTTACAGCTTCATATATGGCTACGGCCATGATGTTTTGATCCAGTGAATGTCTAATCTGACTCATGAGGCCAACTTGGAAAATGCACATTTAACTTTTCAGGAGCGCAAACGCCACTAGCCAGCACCACTTTTAAATTGCTGCCTCACGTATGTATGTACCTACTATCTTTCTCAACAGGTTACTGACACAGGGGCAGTTGGGAATGGGAAGCAACAATGTTAATCCGGCCAGAATCCCAGTACCATACGGACTGTTGTTCTGTATAGCTACTACCTCAACATTAACACACTTCTTCTGGCACTGTGCTGTACAAGAACTTCACTTCTCCTGATCTGGAAAATCCCGAATCAACGCCTTTATACAGTCCCAGGAGAATAGTAGTTTCAATGGAACGTACATGTTAGTGGGCAGAGTGGACAGACTTCCAGTTCCACTGTCTCGAGTGAGCACTCTTCATGTGCCTGCAATCTAGTGTTGTGTCTACCACACACACTTATATACGTACGTACTTACTTACTTAAGAGTGAACGCTTCCACGTAACCGTTTAATCTGAGGCACGCGCAAACATCGAACTAGACGAGTGTATAGCCTAATGGATTGGTTTTGGAGACATATAATTGACAATTTGTATGCACGCCATAGGCATCACACGCACTGTATAACTATTTTAGCCTCCAATATTGTGAGTTTCTAATTGGGTGCGAGTTATAGTCTCAAAGTTTAGGGTTGTGTGTAGTGAGAGGTGATAATAGACAAAGGTAATTAGGGAAGCAGCTGCCTGATTTAAGTGGTTGTATTGTGTACTGTTTTTAATGCACGGCTTGGATATAATATGTGCCCCTATTGCCATTTTAGCAAGAGTACATTTCAAGCATCCTCATCACAGATGCACTGCGTCATATGCCGTATCATCTATGAGTGTGGTGAATGGAGTGGGACTCAGCTGAGATTGGATGGACAGTGCTTCTTCCCGATGAGCATACAGACGTCATCCCTATAGTGGAAGCTCGTATTCTAAAAACATTGGCTGTCTCTACTCCACAACATACAGTGCAGTTTTATACCAAATTGATGGAGGTATGGTACATACATACATAGACATGGTAGTTCAAATAGTATACTGTACATGATTGGTTTTGAAAATGGCAGCAACAGTTGCATTTCGCCTGTGATTATTATTGTGAGTAAAGCGAGCTACCTAGTCATCTCAGCGGTGGATTTTCCTTTCTATCCGGCGACCCGGCCATGATACGACACATAACCGTGATGTTCTATGTGCTTCTGAGTACACGCAAAATGTGGAAACTAGCACCGTGACCATCGTCGCGCAAAACAAGCGCGAAATGGTAATTCAACTGCTTGAACCGCACTTAATGTTCCATGTGATGTGCCCGAAATATTGACCTGCTCGCGCTTGCTCACCGAACAATGTGTTGCATTCCTCTGGTATTGTGATGGAGATATATACATGCTTGAAAGCAGTCACCTGGGAGGCAGACTGCCTGATATTATGCACACTAAGCTAATACCAAATTAGGACAGTCATTGCTTAAAACAGAAGCCATTGAGAAGCTGCAAATTGCCTGAGCATCACTCTAGCTATACTAGATACACATCTATTAGTTCTGATGCAGTGCATTTGTTGGCAAGTGGAGCAAGTGAACAAAGTCATGCAGCCCTGGTTGAGGCAGATCTCTACTTGACGGGCATTGCATACCACGTGCTAGCCTAGAACCATGTGCAAAAACACACGTAATCTTGGCCGCCAAGCTGTACACGAGGCTACTCGGCATTGCCTAGTCTTCTCTCTCATGGGGGCTCAGTTTTAATCAGTGGTGTTTTGACTGGTAGGAACTCCTTGATTTAAGCTCAGTCATCATACTCTGTGCTGTGATAAAGTGTAAATCCCTCTAGTAGTGTACAAGTCCTTTAAAAGCTGTTTGTTCCTGGTACTAGTAACTGTCTATGTTTTGTTGCTGTATTTCAGAGTGCAATGCCAAGGACTATGAATGCCCCAATGGACGGTGTCTGGAGAAAGAAAAGGTCTGCAATGGAGTCAATGACTGTGGAGACGGAACCGATGAACAAGATTGCGGTATGCTTACCTTTCTGAAAAGTTGGCAACCTGATGCTAAAGCCATATAATTCCTCTTTGTGAATAATGGTTACGCTTTGGTTGACTTACGAATTTAGTATAGAATGGAAAAGTACTAAAGTGCAAACCCTCGGTGAACTGCGCATGCGGGATACTGCCAATTTGATGGGCTGGGCTATTAGTATGCATTGTACTCATGGTCTCCCACTGGTAGCTCGCGGAGAGTCTGACATGGGCTAGCTACAGCAGTAGATACCATGCGGGAGTCGATACACGACTTTTGTTGTGACTTCTTGTGCCTTCAAGATACACAGAGAGAGCGAACCCGCTCTGTTCTAATTCTAGCATATTGGCTTTTTCGCTCGTGTTTCACGCCATAACTCTCGAACACAGCAGTTTCAGAGAAAACCCTACATACCTTTCGGCCTATTCCCGACGCTGAATACCTGGTATTGTTTGTCGAGCGATTCATTGCTCGTGAACAGTGAGATTTGGGCTGACAGCAGACAGACAGACACATACGACAACTACAAGTGACACTTGCTGCACATGAGTGCCGAGGGTTAACAATTTCTCTGCAACTATTTCTCAGGGTGCAGCTCTGATCAGTTCACATGTGAAAATGGTGATTGTTTACCCGAACGAGTCAGATGTGATGGAGCTGTCCAATGTGGTGATGGGAGTGATGAGAAAGATTGCGGTATGTTTTCTGTGCTACATACGTGCCTGATCTCTTCCGTCTGTGATGCCGTGAATACTCGTCCACTCTGTTGCTGTAGGCTGCAGCTTTGTTTGTGAAAATGGAAAGTGTTTGGAGCTGCTCCTGGTTTGCGATGGTCACAATGACTGTGGGGATAATAGTGACGAAATAGACTGCGGTAAGCAATGTGTCTTTTGATGGAGTTCATGAGTCTGACATTACCTGCTTGTTATTCGCACACTTCACACTGACAGGCACTTTGGAGTTTGTGAATTTTTCATCCAGCTCTAATTTCTCGGTATCTGATCACCTGCTCTCACCGCCTGATCCCGTGTCAATGAATGCCTTCCGGTTTGGCCACAGCTACATAGACCATGTCTATGTGAGTGTCACTGCTGCATACAATCAAGTTTGTGTCAGTAATAGCTAGTTCCTATTCTGTGATCACAAAGACATACACCGTGTAGTGTAAAACACAAGTGGTAAGACAGATTACTTTCATCAGCTGTGCCCCTTTAGCACCCTGAATGCATGAAGCTTCTCAGAGGATTTGAGTTGATGGTTTGTGGCTTCTGGATTATTATATTGCTAAACCTAAAATCGTAATTATGACACTTTTTATAGCTACGCTCTTTCCACGTTTAAAATATTTGGGACTCCGAGTATACTACTGTTATTACGTAGGTGTCACCTTGGGGAGCGTTTCTTGTGGGAGAGATCTACAATATCCCAGTCGATGTGCCAGGTTTCATCAAAGCAGTTGCTCCATACAGCTACTATATTGACAGAGGTGCACACGGGACAGTGTTCTACCAGACATTTGAGTCCCCAGACCCAGAGCTAGACAGAGTCAGCGCTTTCGTGGAGTCCCAGACTGGAGTACTACCTTTCAATGGCACCTCAATGATTGTAGGGGAATGGAACCAAATACACGTGGGGCTTTTTACTTCTGTGAGTAGTGAAAAATAGATTTTTTGGGTGTTTCATTTCTCATAAGTGTAACTGTTTTAGGCCCTTACCAACACGTTTCAAGGGATAATAATCACTAATGAGACGACCTCCTTTGCCGTCTTCATCTATGAGTGTGGAGGTATGGACTGGAGTGGAGCTGATATAGGCTGGGTCGGATCGTTTTACCTCTATGAGAAGCATCCCTACGGGAAGACGGCTTATTCTAAAGACATGGGATGCCGCTATTCCACCACATACAGTGCAATTGTCTACAGACTGGACAGAGGTACGTATATAATACGTATGTACCAACAACTGTATGAGCAATTGTGGTTTGAGAAGAATCTGTGTGTAACGAGTGTTAAAGAAAAAAGAGATTTAGTGTATAGGTTTTCATACTAGCGATCCATTTATCCAGTGATTGGTTATTGCTGCACCTGCAGAATGCACGCCGTTTGAGTTTCCTTGTGGTAACGGGTACTGCAAGAGTATTGGTGATGTGTGCAATGGCAATAATGACTGTGGAGACAACAGCGATGAAGCTATTTGCAGTGAGTATCACATTACATGTCACTTATAAGTAATTCCCTCACTCAACCTCATTAGGTAGGAATAACAGGGAAGTAATATGAACTATAGCCCATGTATGGTTCAGCGTATTTCTTATGTTTGTGTAACGAAAGCGTAAACTACTTGTTGATTTTCCCCCGAACAGATTACATTTCGGATTCAGGACAAACAAATCCAATCAGACTTATCGTTGATGGAGCTCCATCCCCAACCAACGAAGGGACTGTGGAAATGTATTACAAAGGCATATGGGCCACCATCTGCTATGAAAACTGGGACTTCACTGATGCCGAGGTGGCTTGCCGCATGCTAGGGTTTAGGACCGCCATCCAAGTCCACAGGTAGTACATGTGCACCTGATTCAATATGTGTAGTGTTGTTAGGACATATTAAATTAGTGATGCATACGTACGTACGTACAAAACGTCCAAAATACAATGATACAGTGATAGATTTGCGAACTGTTTGGCCCAAACTAGTTTTAGATGCTGATTGCAGTCCAGTGGGGCGGCTACATAATTATAAGCATGTTACCCATTGACAGTGTCCCGTACGTATATCCATACAGATCTATTTTCAGTCCAAACCGTGGATATGTTGTGGGTCTTGACTGTGTGGGGACAGAGAGTGAGCTGAGACAGTGCGGATTCAGAGGCATCCTGGTGGGCCGACAGTGTAGATTTGGATATGCCGGTGGTGTCTCATGTACCAGTGAGTTGGCTTTGTGCATCTTTGCTGTGTGCTTGTGACAATCCTGCGCTCAACGTCAATCCGCGGCTCCTCTGCCTCCCTCTCCGATTTGCTCTCCCCTTCCTCCTCTAGTACATACATCCGTTCGATTGTCGTTCCTTGGCATGAGAGATAAAATGAAGGGGGGCATAGG